TTTTGTACAGCAACGGAAACTATCAGACAAATTGAAAAGGCAGCCTACTGATTGGGAGAAGATATTTGCAAATAATATATCCAATAAGCAGTTAATTTCCAAAATTTGTAAAGAACTCAACACCAAAAAGCCCCCCCAAACAATCCCATTAAATAATGGACAGAGGACCCGAATAGACATTTCTCCAAAAATGACATACAGATGGCCAGCAATGCATGGGAAGATGCTCGATGGTAGGAATCATTAGGGAAATGCAAAAAAAACAGAAGGAGGTTATCACCTCACACCTGTCAATGTCTAGACTCAAAATGACAAGGAATAACAAGTGTTGGTCAAGATATGTAGAAAAAGAAACCCTCGTGCACTGCTGGTGGGAATGTAATTTTATGTAGCCAGTATGGAATATGGTATGCAGGTTCCCCAAAAAATCAAAAATAGAAATCCCATATGATCTAGCACTTCACTACTGGCTAACTACCCAAAGAAAACAGAAACACTCCTTTGAAAAGATATATGTACCTCTATGTTTAGCATTTTTAACATTAGCCAAGATACAGAAGCAACCAAGTGTCCATCAGTAGATGCATGGGCTGTGTGTGTGTGTGTGTGTGTGTGTGTGTAAAATGGACTATTACTCAACCATTAAAAAAACGAGATATTGCCATTTGATACCATATGGATGGATCTAAAGAGTATTATGCTAAGTGAAATAAGTCAGAAAGTCAAACACCATATGATTTCACTTATTTGTGGAACCTAAAACGTGAAACAAATAAAAGCAGAAACAGACCCATAAATACAGAGAACAAACTAAAGGTAGCTAGGGGGATAGGGGATGGCAAAATGGTTGAAGGAAAGGAGAAGATACAGGCTTCCAGTTATGGAATGACTGTCACAGGAATGAAAGGTACAGCTTATAGAATATAGTTCATGAATTTAAAATTAGGTTTGTATGGTGGCAAGTGATAGCTATACTTTAATGAAATGGCAACCTTCAGAATGGGAGAAGATAATTGCAAAGGCCCTAGCTGATAAACTGTATCTGGAATCTAAAGATTTTAATAAACTCAACATCCTCCCCCAGTAATCCAGTTAAAAAATGGGAAGACATGAGTAGACTTTTTCCCAAAGATTACATACAGATGGCCAACAGATGCATGAAAAGGTGCTTAACCTCACCCATTGTGAGGGAAACACAAAATCATGATGAGCTACTACCTCACACCTGTCAGAATTGTTAAAATTTATACCACAGGAAACAACAGATGTTGGCAAGTATGCCAAGGAAAGGGAACCCTCTTACTCTGTTGGTGGGAATGGAAACTGGTGCAGCTGCTCTAGCAAACAGTATGGAGGTTCATCAGAAACTTAAAAATAGCACTACTCTATGATCCAACACTGCTAGATATTTATCAAAGAATATAAGAATACTGATTCAAAAGGGCACATGTACCCCAATGTTTATAGCAGCATTATCAACAACAGTCAAATTATGGAAAGAGTCCAAATGTCCATTGGCTGATGAATGGATAAAGAAGAGGTGGTATATATATATATATACAATGGAATATTACTTCACCATCAAAAACAATGAAATCTTGCCATTTGAATGACTTGGGTAGAGCTAGAGGGTATTATGCTAATAAGCAAAATAAGTCAAAGAAATACCATACAGTTTCACCCATTTGTGCAATTTAAGGAACAAGACAGATAAACATAGGGGAAAGAAAAAAAGGCAAACCGTAAAATAGACTCTTAACTATAGAGGACAAATGAGGGGTTGCTGGAGGGGAAGTGGGAGGGGATGGACTAAATGGGTCATGGGCTTTAAGGAGGGCACTTGTGATGAGCACTGGGTGTTACATGTATATAATGAATCAAATTCTTCTAAAACTAATATTACACCAAATGTTAAGTAGAATTTTAATAAAAACTTGAAACAAAAGTAAGCTAGCATAGGAGTTGTTGAATCACAGTGTTGTACACCTGAAACAAATATAACATTGTATGTGAACTATATTTTGATTTAAGAAATCCATCAAAAAATAAAGTGAATTATGGATATACATCTTCATTTAATTAGAATTTACTTATAACTTATAAATAAATAACTTATAAACCTGCCCCCAAACCTTAAAAATCAAAGATTGATTTTGGTGGAGCTTAATTTTTCTAACATTTTCTGTTACCATGAAATATTTCTTACTGAAATTTTCAGAATGACTATAAAGCCTGCATAATTATGGTTTTAAAACTAGTCAAGTTTTCTGATTTCCTTTAACACTTGATATTCAAATCATTTTCTCTTGAAACATCTATTGTGTCATTCTTTTTGCTTGTTTTATTAACTGGCCCCTCCTCCAGAATGCACACTTTTTAATGGCTTTGTTATTTGAGCAAATCTCCAAGAATATTTTCCTTGACTTCATTAAATTTAACATCTTCATAAAATTTGACATTTTACTTTACATTGATTGTTCGGGTTAAGCTAAGCCAGTCAAGTATGACATTGTTTGAATGAGGCAGATAAGAATCCTAGTAACAGAGGTGTCTGGGTAGCTCAATCAGCTAAGAGTCTGCTTTCAGCTCAGCTCAGGATCCTGGGGTTCTGGGATTGAGCCCTATGTGAGTCTTCCTGCTTAGCAGGAAGTCTGCTTCTCCCTCTCCCTCTTCCTTTCCTCCTCCCTGACCCTCATCCTCGCTCTTGCACACACACTCTCAAATAGATAAATAAAATCTTAAAAAAAAAAAAAATACTAGTAACAAACAAGGAAAAGGGCTGTTTGAGTAGTCACTAATTTTGTTCATTTGTGACTTTTAATTTTTTTGCTTCCCTGCTTAACCTCTTGGAAGATTTGAGTAATATTCAGCAAAAAGAATTCCTTATACTTTTAATTATACTTAATCCTGATCCTGTAGATCCAAAAGACTCCAAGATAATGGAAGTCAACTTTCTTCCAGAAAAATAACAAAGGTGTGAATGGCTTCTGTGTTACTGAGCTATCTAGAATTTGCCTGTGTTATTAGAAAGTGAAAAGTATATATTAGTTTGGAAGACTTTATCTCTGAGCCAGAGGTGGAGAATGATCTGTGAACGATGGTGTTAGAACGAAATCACAGTCTTTTTATCCCAAAAAGAACTTGAGCCCTAGCCTCACCCTTTCTTAATTCCACCTAAAGACATTAACCAGCCACTTGGCTTGTCAGCAAAAACATCATAAAATGTTACAACTTCTAATAAAATAATGATCAACTAGACATGACATATCTACATAATTGAGGAAAGTCCTTTCTACTTTGTTTTATAAAGATTTGTACTGGTCCTGGGATACTTGAATATAAAGGGTAAAAAATCCAAATTTAAAGTTGGTTCATCCATAAACCAGAATCCATTATGTCATGATATTTTCTTAATCCATTCAGAACTTTCCAAATGCACTAGTTGCTATTGTTTTGCTTCCATGCTTGTTCATCAATTCCTGTCTGCACGTGCAACAGCCCCATATCTCTTTCAGCTTGCTATATCAGCCTCAGGATTTTGTAAACAGCAGAACAAATGGAAACTAACTCCTGCTAGGAAGTCAAGGCTTTAAGGCTGTGGCAGAAGTGGAAATAAATCCCTCTCAAATGTCCGAGTTCTTGTGTGCTAGTCTGGTCTCTGTCCTAATTAGATTACAAGTGAAGCTGTTCCCATTTCATGAGAAATGTGCCTCCTCGCTGACAGGAGTCCTCTTCTCCCTTCGGATACAGGGTGAAAGGGGTTGGGTCTTGACCTGTTTCCATCAGGCCTCAAGAAGGAGGAACAGGATAAAATAACATCCCTTGTTTCAGTTCAGGAATTGAATACTATTATATGAAAAGCTCTCTAAGAAAAATCTGTTTAAATCATTTCAAGTTAGAGAATTACTACAATTCTTGAGCATGCCTTCAGTTAATGTCCCCAGTCATATTTATTCAAGGATTTTAAATGTATTACTCATTGCAAATTTAATAGTTATAGCAATTACTTAATGAAAGATAAGAACCATAACAATGAACACTTAAAACCTTTATAACACCTAAAAAAAGGCTTAATAATCCAAGAATTGATGCAAAGTATTTTAAAAATCTTTAATTAAGACATTTCTGTTAACTAAATTGTTTTAAAGTAAAAAGGTACAAAGAAATAAAAGCTTACAATATGTTGTCAAAAAAGCAGACCTATCTGATTTGGTTTAATTATATGTAATAAACGTTTGGACACCTGAATGTTTTAGGCAAATAAATACAGAAGCAGCTTTAACAATACCTAAAGCGCTATCCCAGGTCTGGCTTCTCTGCAGAATTGTTTGTACTAATCATTTACTTACTGCGCCCACCTAAAACTAACTGCTAATATTTTTAAATACTAATTTTTACTAACTTAACATATATTTTAAAATCCTAACCAACATGATAGAAGAAAAGCATTCCCCTGAAATAAAAAAAAAAAAATGCAATTCACATCCTTACTATGCCACTTCAAAGCTGTTGAATTGTGACCATGTCATTGAACTCTTCTGTCCCAAATTTCCTTTGTTCTAAATGGAAGAGTTTGTAATCTGGAGTCATTAGCATCACAACCTAGGATGTTTCCATGTCTGAGTAGGTGGGACCTAAAATTATTTGTTAACCAAGGGTGCAAACACAAAGCATTTGTAAGTCCCAGCATTTTACACTGCTGCAATTATCTGTAGAGTAGACTTAAAATTGAGTTTGCCAAAAAGCACATACTAGGAGTAGGTCTTCTTCAGGGTCTTTCCACAGTAAGAGATGATCGTCTGGACAAGGAGTCTGAGAATACTCAGCTACTCATTTCATATCCTGTTGCTCTTTGGTATTTCAGAGGCCTGATGTATTTGATTAAAGGTATCAGTAGCTTCTCACAAAAGAGTAAGTGAATTAAGTCAACAATTTAATGGTCATGTTCAAAGTACCGGAACAAAGATTGTTCATGTTAATTTTGTGATTATTTTTTCTAGGACCTACGGATCTCAGCATGAAGAGGCAGTTGGCAACTAGCTCAGGATCCTCCAGCAGTTCAAGCTCCAGACCCCAGCTGAGTCCAACTGAAATCAATGCTGTGAGACAGCTCGTTGCAGGATACCGAGAATCAGCTGCATTTTTATTGCGTTCTGCAGATGAACTGGAAAATCTTATTTTACAACAGAACTGAGTCAAATGACGATCCTTTTCACTGAGGTCTAAATTTGCAGTTTCCACTAATGACATTTTGATTTCCCAGCAGAGACGCTTCTGGTCTTACTGCACAGTCTTAAGAGAAATACTTCCATTATGCCACATTGTCCTTGATCCATAAAGTGATGTGTTAAGGTGCTTCAAAGGAACTCTGACCTCTGAAGTACTTGAGATACTGTAATGTGTCGGGCCTACTGCTTTATGTTTTAGTTTCTCAGCATAAATATCTGGGGCAAAAAAAAACAAAAAACAAAAAAAACCCCAAAACAAAAAAAAACGCTGTATATTCTTAATTCAAGGATAAAACAGAAGAAGTTTGTGGTATAAAAAATAGTTCAAGATCCAACTGAAATATTAGTGGAATTTGCTACTGACTTATTGGACAGAAAGCTACAGTATCTGGCAAAAAAAAAAAAAAAAAGCCAAATTTCTTGTTGCTACAGGATATAACAACATTGAGAAGGATCTTGTATTTTAAAAAAATATATATATGTAATTTTTATAAAAAGACAAAAACTTGTTTTTCATTCAAAATTGTCATTTTTACTTTGGTAACTTTTTCATAGGTCCTAAAAGAAAACTGTTTTGAGAAACTACTATAAGTACCTTTTCCACAATCCCTTTGCCTTCTCCTCTTTCCAAATTCTTTCTACAAAAAATAACAATGCTGGAAAACAAACCCTTGCTACGTTCTTTAAATCGTCACATCAGGAACTACTTCCACGAGAAGCCTGCGTTTCTGCACTCGCGCTCCTCATGCCTCTCAACATCGCAGTTTCGCAATAGAGGTTTTCATCACAGAATGTTTTAATATTAAAAAAGACATATCATTGAAAAAATCACACCTTGGTTCCTTACAGCTGCTCACCGTGGATTGACGCTGCTGTGTTTCGGGCACGCCTCCAGCAGCAGTTGGATGTAGATGGCTGAATGTTAAGAGGTTGCAAGTGACAATCTGAAAATTTGCACTCGTGTGTAGTTTTTCTTTCTCTCTTTCAGAAATAGTTTCCAAAAAGACCATTACCTCTCCTGATAGGATTTGTATAATTTGCAGTTCTAGGTAACAGTGATGTAAAGAACTCTCAGTGGACGCAGCTGCAGCTTTTCCATGAACTTTCCCTTCCTCTCCCCTGACCGTTTGCCCTTTCTTATTTTATAGTGTTGGATACACATGAATGGTGTTTTCTTTGTGCACTGAGGCAAGCCTATTTTTTAAATATTTAGGGAGAAGTACATCAGTTTATGCTTCTTGTACAATTATCTTTCTGTTGTTCAGCTTTGGTTGGATTACAAATTCTTTGTGCATTCCTGAATTTGCCTTATTTTATGTAAAACTTATGTCATTCAGTTTTTGATAATGAGTTTAAGGCATCAGTGATATTTCTTATGTACTTGTTACATATAGTTTTTCAAGTAATGACTGTGATTGTGACCAAGTAATGTGCACTTTTTCTTGTAACTGTGGACATTGCTATGCTTTTTCTTCTAGTGTTTCTAGAATTACTGTTCCTGACAGTTACGTAAAACAAACAAAAAAACACAAAAAAAGAACTTTTGTGATACTGTTGGTGAATATAATGTGAAAAACTTATTGAAATATGAGTATTTTGGAAATACATAGATGCACAAACATCTTTTAAGGTGTGGATTTAGAGTTTGCTTATTTAAATGAAAATTCAAAAAAATCGAGGGCTGGTATAATTTTATCTGTTTTGTTTGGTTTAATAAACAGATTTCTGTGTAAAAATAATGATTGTGAAAACTTCCAAACTTTCTGAAGGACACAATGCTTTTAGCAGTTGGCTTTGAAAATATGCAATGCCATTTTGTACCCAGCATTTAGTATAAGAAGGACAGTTAACCTTTTATCTGAGGATTATCCCAAGATCCGCTAGAGTCTCAACATTGTCTAATAAAGAATTTTTCCAGGACAGCATAAGGGAAATTAGCAAACCAAGGATATTTCGTTTGATTATTTAAATCTGATTTAAGAATTTCTTTTACTCCTCATCTTTATATAAGTAATTTGGGTCTTTTAGTCACTCCTGATTTAACATCTTAGGAGAAGCATTTCTCTGTTTGAAGTGCCTCTTTTCCTGCTTTGAGTTTTGCTGCAGTGATCCTTGAAGACTTGGACATTGTTGCTATTTCAGAAAGTAACCGGTTTGAGTTCAGCATATACATAAAAAATCCTTAAGAGTGATAATGAAGCAGAGTAGAAAAGGTAAGTTCCAGCAAAGTGCTCCTGTTTTCATTACATTCCTACTTTCAAATACAACTCCCAGGCCCTCCTACCAAGAACAAAATTCCCTCAAAGTTTCTGATATTTGAACATTTATCGCAAAGAGAAAGGGTACTAGGACTCCCACTGTTTCCCTGCGGGAGCTCAGAGGCCAAAGCCACATACGCTTTTGTTTCTCTTTTTGCTTTAGGACTTGTGCCTTAAAACACCAGGGTCCTCTTTTACACTGGAAGAATCCATGCCCCTTTATAAAGCATTTCGGAGAAACTAGGTGCAGGTTCGTATTCTCATTCTACTGAGGTGGTAGGAAACAATCATAAACACAGAGATCAAACAGAAGTTCCTGCTACTTCTGCCAGTTGACTTCCCATACAACAGCAGTGTCTTGTCAGATGTGTGTTACTTTATCACACCTAATCAGAAAACAGGACTTAAATGACCACAGAGAATACAAACACAAGCAGTTACTGAATTTTCTTAAATTGTGTAGGTCAAGTAACAATACTCAGTAGAAAGGACATTCAGCTACAATGATAGCCACGAATTACTGATTATTGATACGGGGAGAGCCATTTTATTTCCTTTTCACAATAACTGTGCGCAATGAGGACAGTCATAGTCCCTTTTACAAAGGAAATCAAGAAGCTAAAGTCACTTGCCAGGAGCCCGGGACAAAGGCTGCAGCCACCCTTTGAACCCAGGCAAATATGAAGCCTGAGCTCCCCTCCTGGTGACTGCAGTCTGCTGTCTCCCAGATACTTTATAATGGTCTTCTACCCTGTGACTCAGAACCAGATCTTTATAGTAAAGTTGAGCAGTTTTGCATGGTAGATAATAGCTATTGAAAATGCTCTTAACATCAAAGCATTGGACTTAACGTGCCCAATTTTATCCTGCTTCTAGAGGTTTAATTTCCTTTAAATTACATTCTCTACAAATATCTAGAGCAACAATAAAACCTACCACTGATGAAAATCAAACACATAAGGCAGGAAGAGAAGGCAGTGACTTTTTAACAATGATGGGGGCCAGTAGTGTATCTGGTAAGTAAAGGTGAAAGTCCGTATCCAGCTGAACCCAGAAAAGTCCATTCACTTTAGATTTTAGTCTCAGCTATTATACCTATGTACTTAGCTATGCTGCTATTATAATCTTTACACCATTAATACAAATATTCAGAAATTAGAAAATATTTTTGGCATACAAAGATTAATTTTGTACGGCTCAAGTTTCAAACTTCATAAAAAAAATAGAGCGGGTAGACATTAACATAATTTCAATGTGTTTGAGATGCAGAAATGTGGCAAAGTAAGGATTGAGCACAAGATAACCTACAGGAACTTACTATATTCACTGGAGCTCATCTAAGATTGTGAGGGAGATAAGGTCAATCATGTTCAACATTTAATTTTATTTTCTGATTTAAAAATAAACTTGGGAAGTACAGAAAGATGACAGAAAAATAATCATCCCAGCACCAGTTGAGAACCATGAATATCCTTTTATAGCCTATCTTTCAAATTTTCCCTAAACAGATACGTATTTAGTTTCACTGTCCTATGGTGTTTCCTCAGCTACTTTTCTAACCTAACAATATAGCGTGAGTATTTTCCACACTATGGGTTATTATTTTTAATGACTGCCTAGCATCACATTGTCTGAATGTATTAGTGTTCTACTGCTGCTGTAACAAAGGACAACAGACAGAAATTTATTACAGTCTCAGGTTGGAAGTCTCACTGGACTAAAATCTAGATTTTGGTAAAAGTGTTCCTCTCTGGAGGCCCTTGGGGAGAATGTTGCCTTGCTTGCTCTGCTTCTCAGACACTCCTCAACTGGTGTCCCTTGCTTCCATCTTTAAGTCCAACTGACTTCTGCACCCCCTTCCATATTTAAGGACCATTGTGAGTAGCCTGGGACCACATAGATCAAACAAGATCACCTCTTTATATTAAGGTCAGCTAACTAGAAACTGTAATATCCTCTCCAAACCTAATTCCTTAATTTGACATGTAACAAAACTAAAGTACCTTAATTTCTTTTTAAAAATAACTCTTTGTGCCCAGATACTACAGGTGCATTTTCCAGTAACCTGTAGTAAAGATCCTAAGTCAGCAGCACAAACTTTTTTCAAATAATTGTCAGCTGCCATATCACACTTATTTTTTTTCCCTGTATAAGGTATATCATCTTGGAAATTTTAATGGAATTTTCCTCAAATGTCTCACATTCAAATTAAAGGTAAAGAACAAATAAATATGGTAAAAGTACAGCTAAATCTTCCAAGGGAAATTAAACAAAAATACCTCTGAACACTTTCCTGATTTCTTAGTAGGTGGTTCTGCCCAAGAAATTCCGTGATACATGTTTGAGAGGTCTCTAACTCATTAGCCTGGAGGGGGTACATGAGAATCCAAAGCTTAACTAAATTATTTAAGTAAAACAACTGCATTTATAAAACTTTTAGTGCCAGTTACTAGTGGTGTTTTATTTGCCTGAACAAGTGATATATTTGACATTAAATGTTATTAGGTGACACATTTTAAAAAGGAGGGTTTGGCACTAAATATATTGAATTCAAGATAGCTGAATTAAAACATTTGCTAGGACACTATTTTTATCTACATGTCAACATTTTTATTTTCCCTTATTTACTGTTTTATTTTTTTCCTTTAAAGACTATCCACTGAATGAAAGAAGATCCAGATAATTCAAGGCCATTTTTAATGCGAGGAGAGAAAAAAAAAAATTATAAAAGCATAGACCACAGAAAGCAAATGCTATTACTAACAGTGTGGGATTGGTGCTGGTTTTCTTCCCTTCAAAGTTCTGATTTCTTATTTTGTTTATTGGAGAATGAATTAGATCAGTCTGCCCGTGATAAAGGTCTTCTACTTATTGAAGTACTCTGTTACGGTAACAGAACACGTGGCCAGAGATTCCAAACAGATTCTTCTTAGTTCCTTTGCTGACAAAAGGATTCTAAAGTCGGCCA